AACTTCTGAAGCCCTGCACTCTCTCAGTCCTCCCTTTGTGTTTGTCTGTGACTAACTGGCACAGGGTTGGGGGGGGATGCAAGAGACAAGACAGCTGTATTGGATCCCCAATTAGGAGATACCACACACAGAGACCAACGGGCACGTACACTGACGCACACATCTTACAGACAAACAGAACGTGCAAATATACATAATGTATATATACACTCAGAAATCCTGGAAAGATGTAGAAATGATGCGTGTGTCTGTGAGAGTGGGTGGGCAGGTGGGTGGCAACTGCGGTTCAGAAGACATCAAATGGTGAGCATCCATAGGCTGACGGTGTTCCAAGGAAAAGAAAACACAGATCTGATGCTGTGAGGGCCCTCCGAGGACTGTCATTAACACTTCACACACACACACACACACACACACACACACACACACACAACACACCTACACCACACACACACACACGACACACCTACACACACACCACACACACACACAGCCAGGGTGCACACAGATTTTGTCAAGCCTGCCAAAATTGGGTGCACTGAGTTTCGTATTGACATTCCTCCTTAAATCTCGAAAGTCTGGCAAATACTGTCAATTTCAGCAGTTTTACTGTTCTTTGTGAATGCATTTCTTGGTGGTGAAGAAAAAAAGAAAAGGATTCCAAGGAGTTTCCATGTGTTGAAGAAGACACGTCGCTTGTCCTAAAAGGATTGTCATAGTGATAGTCAGTCTGTCAGGCAAACCCCCCATCAGCCCAACCCTGACTGATGCTTTGGAAAGGCGTTCTTCTCTAGCTTAATGCTGGTGTTGTTGGGCTTTTTAGCATTTCTGTGAAGCCAAAGAAAATAGAATTTAAGGTTAGCCAGCTACTCCTGGTGAGTACTTTTTGATTTAAAAACAACCTTTTAACCTAATGTAGATTCTTCTGCAGTGTTAAGAGTTAGCTTATGAGACAAAATCTATGAATTTGAAGGATTTCCACCTAAAGCCTGAAAACAAGCAACACAGGCAAAATATTAAATCAACTTCTTGTCATTCTCTCAGCAATTCTAAATATACAGTTATATGATTGCATCTTCTGTTGAATATTGTATTTTAGAATTACCTGTGTTGTAAGCTGTAAATGAATCTGGATTTCCAGTCTCAGGACTGAGAGTAAAAGTGGGGTCATCTGGAAGGGACTGACAATGACAAAAGTTTTGGAACTGGGGAAGGATGGGAAAATATTAAATGGGCAGATTGGAGCAGATTAAAAATAAACTTGTCAATGAGTGTCCTTATATTTATATTTCAGGGAAGAGAGAAGTTTACAGAACTCTAGCTGTGGTTTAGATCACTTTGTCAAGCTTGTTGGAAAATTGCTCCGCTATTTCTTCACACTTCACTCCCATTATGGACTCTTTAGTCCCGGTGAACATCCAATGGAAACAAATTACATACTCAGATCCCTTTCAGAACCTTTTCATTTACTGTTGCTTAGGCAGAATAGAAAGTAATGGAGTAAGGACGTGCTAACTCTAACCATCTGGTTCTTTGCAGTCCTTTGTTGGTATGTTGTAAGTATTTGAATAGTTTTTATGAGTGTCTCATGTGTCACTGCCATTGGGTCAAGTGCAGGTCGATGTTATTTCAACTAGCTCCAGGCTTCTGCTGGAATCAATGACAGGGTTCCAGTTGGGACAGAACAGGACATTCTGCACTTTCCTCTCCTCTTATTCCACGCTCTCCACAACCTCCTTACTTCATCATCTGATCTATTATCAATACTCCTCTTTCTTCCCCGCTAGCAGATTGTTGTAGTTGTCTGGATAAAATGGAATTTTACAACTGAGTCAAATCCAGAGTGAGACACCATTTTGAATGACGCAGTGTTGTTGTAATTTGACATTTCCCCAAGGCCATGGCATCATCCCTCTTCTCTCCACTTTCTCCACTGCTCTCCTCCCCTCTCCTTCTTTTGTTTTTCAGTCCAGCTAAATTGTGTAACTAGAGAAGGAACAGGTGTACTCATAGTTTTATGTCACACATCAATCTGATGATAACACACAAACACAGCCACACATTAAACACACGCTGTATTTGTTTTCCACTTTGTGAAAACAGACAACTGTGAACATATTTTTTCACGATTCATAATGTGTCGAGCCAGGTAGTTCTCTCTTTGTCCTCCTCTCTCTCTCTCTCTCTCTCTCTCCTTCTCACTCTTTCTTTTTGACACACACACACACACAGACACACACACAAATGAATAAAACAGTCTGGAAATGTTTCACTTTTCTGTCGGGAAAAACAACCTGCCAAAACACCGATGGAGCATGAGATCTTTGTCATGCATTTATACTCACTCCACACACACACACACACACACACACACACACACACAATTGCAAGGAATCACGCCCACACAAGTATTTGTATGCTCAAATGTGTCCAGGCACATTCACTCACACATGCACTGTAGGTGTTTACACTCATAAACTGACAAACACACGCACACACCAAGTTTGAATCACAGCGAGGCAGAAGTCAACAAAGAACCAGCTATTGCCAGATGGTGTGTGTAATGTGTGTGATTACCGCTTTGGTGTTTTTGATCTATGATGTTGCCTTGCGTGTGTGTCTGCATGTGTGTTTGCCTTTGCGTATATGTGTGGGCGATTAGTCCTGCCTTGTTTTTTCTGTGTTTTTTACATCAGCAACCGTTGGATTGCTCCCCAGACCGCAGGCCAAAGACCTTGTTTACCACCAGCCGTGACTCTGTGAAAAAAAACCCCAGGAGAAACATTAGATTAGCCTGTGACAATTGTTGGATTTGTAAATACCCTAAAAATATCTTAAATTGCTGAAAAAAGTGTGAAAATTGGGCATTGTTTGAACAGAGAAACTGGTGATTTTCTCTACCAATTTCAAGATCATAAGCTGCTCAGCTGTCGTGTTATGTGTGGTAGCAGCCTTTTAAAGCCTTTTTTCTGTCTCCTGTCCCAATAGAGTTTGATGTTAGGCTGACAGGCGAGCTAGTCTCTCTTCTCTTCTTCTCACTGAGTTGGCTGACAGAGACTCTCCTGATGGTGACAACTAAATGATCTCTTCTTTATTAAACACCTCTTACTATCTCTCTATCGCTCCCCGACTACCTCGCTTCCTCCTCGCCTTCAGTGTCTCTTTTTATCTTTTGACTGACTGCTCTCCCTCTCCTCGTCTGTTTCTTATTCCTCCGAGTCCCCCTCCTCCCCCCCTTCACTTTTTTCACCCTCTTGGCACGCAACCTCCCTCACTGTATCTCCCCTTGGTTTCTCTATCATTTCTGTCTCCCTCCTTAGTTGTCTCGCTTTTTTTCTCTAAATGGAAAGAGGAAATATACTTCCATCCCTCACCTGTGGTCATCAGCCAGTCTAGCTAGCCAGTCAGTCTGTCAATCTGCTTGATAGTCACTCAGCCAGCCAGTCAGTCATTGTGCAGCAGTGTTAAAACATTAATTAAAAAGTCTCATCCTCAGAGCTAGGCAGTGATCCAGGCTGATCTCAGCAATCCAAGCTTTCTGTCTCAGTCTTTTTCTCCCTCTCCCCTCCCCTCTGTCTCTGTTTTCCTCTCTCTTTCTCTCTCCTCATACCTTCCCAGCCACTTTCTCCGTTTTCTCTCTGTTTCTCTGTCCTCTCTGTGCAGGAGGACTGGAAGACCGGGTTGATAAGAAACATTATTAACTTCTTTCTGGGAATAGAGAGCTGGAGAACTGGGATGGAAGGGAAAATAAGGGAAGAAGACAAAGAGAGAGGCAGAGGTGCCGAATGTAAGAAGGAGAGTTAGCTAGCGAAACGGACAGGAGACATTAAACGCTGGCAGAGAGAACAGATAGAAAGAAGTATGGAGGTTGTCTGTCTCTCTTATAGGCCCTCCAAGCAGGATTGGGTGCCATACAGATGTCTGGTTATTATCATTATTTATGAGACAGTACTGCCTGTGTTCTGAGGCCTACGGGTGGGATTTGAAACAGATAAGGACAGAATGGATAGATAGAAGCATACATGGACAATTTAACTGTGATAAGGTGTTTCTTGCAGACACCCAGAGGAACTGTGTTATGGTCAGAATTTGTTCTATTTTGTGTGCCAATTTTATTTTATGGTATTCTCTTGGATTCCAACTTTGTGAAAACCTCTTTACAGTTGCTCCAAAAACTATAGTCTCAGAGGAGGTAACATGTCTTCCATTTAGACACTACTTTGTTCTACTTAGGCACAGTGGTGCTTTGAGCTAATGCTAGCATGGCAACATGCTAATAATGCTGATCTTTAGAAACAGTATTACTATATTAACCATCTCAGTTTAGCATGTTAGCATGCTAGCATACACCAAAGTATTGTACAAATGTGTAATGTACAATTTTTTGATGATGAAATGTTATCATAATCATAATTCATCCTGAGGGGAACATGAATGTCTGAACCAGAGTTCATAGCAACCAATCCAATAGTTGTTGAGACACACACCAAAAATTCAAACCTAATGCTCGTGTTACATGAAAAGGACCATCAACGTTTCCACAACATTTTATGGCAATCCATCTATTATTTGTCGAAATCTTTCAGTCTGAACCAGGCTGGGAACCACTGCCCTAGAGCATGGCTAAAAATGTTGTTTGCATAACAATCAAAGAACAACCCATATTGTTCCATTTGTTAAAAATAGCTAAACTGATTCACCTGCTAATCAGAACATTTCATTGTTGTTTTTTACAGATATGGGAAGATTGTGTCAACAAAGGCCATCCTGGACAAGAACACCAATCAATGCAAAGGTGAGTGAGAACCAGGCTTTATCTGGTTTGGTTATCAAAGTCAGCCTATACTTCACAATCTCAGATTGTGACGGGAGGTTTGAGTCTGGAAAACATCAACTGAGAATTGATGATATTTGGCAGCTTAAAGGCAGACTAATCAGTACTCTACAGGGAGTGGTTTTGTACTGTTTTGCATCCCCAATTAATCACTGCCCAGAGGTTTTACCAATTGGCTGAAATGTCTTTCAACAACCAGTGTGACGTCAAATTAAAACAAATGACTTCAACTTGGGCAAGCCACCCAGTCTGCTATTACACAAAATCCATGTGTTTGCCTCAGAGTTGTGTGTTATGTGGTGAGTATGTGTATTTTTACACTGTATACAACACAACAGTATTGACTGCCTTAATGAGCATGTCATCCTTTAATCCACCTAAATGACGCACTGCTAGAGTACCTTTATTTTGTTTTACATCTCTATAAAGATGATTCCAGGATTGCACCCTAATGACACTCAGAGTTAAGCACCTTTTGAAAGCAAGATGTTTGCATTGTTGTCATTGGCCAAATCAAAACGGAGAACACCATACAATAGCCACAATGTGTTTCAAATTGTCTCTGTGGTGAATGAGGATCACTCAAGTGTGTTCTGATGAGAGTCTGCTTGATTGTTGGAGTGGTCTGAACAAAGCACTAATCAATATGATTGTAGTCGTCTGCTTTTGAAGAGGCACACAAGAGCATGTGTTCAGCATGATTGCTGCTCATCTGCCAAGGCTGTACTCAAAGGTATACTGACATGGTTCAGGACAACATCACAAATGCCCCGTAATCAGCGTATCAGTCTCAATAGTATGAGAGAAGGAAAAGCCGGTCTGATTGATAACAATGGCAGGGATGTTAATGTAGGTTCTAAGACTTCATCTGCTACAATTACTTAGGATAAAATATTAAGTAAATGATTTCAGTCCTGCCTGTCTTATTATAATATGAACACCAAACTTCATTGAAACCCCCCTGAAAACTCTTACCTCAGTTACTATCTTGGATCTTTCTAATTGGCTGGTTATATAAATCTTATAAACTTAATCATTCCAGTTACCTGCTTTAGCATCACATAATCAAATATGTCTTGAGCTCCAGAGGCATATTGAAATGCCTGTCCTGACATCATTACAGCATAGCCGAAGGGAAGGCAGAACATTCTATAAACCCAGTGATAATTATCAGTTATTCTGCCATTTTCTCAACTCATTAAATTTTTTTCATTGGTGTTACTTGAAATGGAGTTTTAAAACCTGATTCAGTACAGCCTCGGTGCTCCAGTTCATGATTATTATGTTTGGCAATTATGGCTTCATGCTTCGTTTTTGTATGATTTACAAATGGAAAATAATGTTTTATTCAAGAACTCATTGCATCTGAAAAGGCTATTTGCATCCAGTACTTACACATTAAACCAGAATTAAACGTTAATCAGCTTTAAAGTGGCGATATGTATATATAATATATATTTTTCTTATTGTTAAAAAATCCCATGGAAAGACCACCAACAAATTGGTTGTAATAACAAATGCTGCCTGTGTGGCCACAGCCTAATATAGAGTCTTCCTGTGTGGCATAAAGCTTCCTTGCTGTCCAATAACTATTAAAAACTCATCAATGAGCCACACTGTTGCACTGGGTGACATGTTTTTTCATTACCATGCACATGAGCACAGTGGTTTATTTTGAGTCAATCCTGCAGAGTTCTTCTGCCATAAATACTCATTAGAGCATCAAATGTGTATTAATCCAGGGCTGAAAATAGTCCTCAGCAAATTCACTATTTACTCCTGTTTGAATAATGTTTGCTAAAAACTGAAATTACATAGCATTTTTAAAAAATTAAACAGTATATTTGTGACCTGTTTTTAAAGATTTACATCTTCAGAAGGAATGATTTAGGCTGCGGAGCTAAGAGCTACAGGGTAGGGAATTAGAAATGTATTGAGTGACGGGCCGGCTGTGGTTTTCTCATGGAATTTGTTGACAATAATAATTTCGTCACCGGCACATGTCCACGGTTGTCCACTTGGATTGTGCATGTGCAGTCTAGAATTTGACACACACAGAAAAGGTATGAATATGTACGTTATACGTATGTAATGGCTCCAGACTTCAGCAGCAACTTGACTGCTTGATCACATTCAGTAATATTTTCTGGGCTAAAGTAGGTGTGATGGTGTGCAGTTGTATGTGTGAACATAAATCAAAATTTTTATTGTTATTTTCTTTTATTTGTGTCTGTTCAGAATGTTAACTTCCCTTTCACTTACAAGTTAATATTTTGGTGGTATGCGTTATTTCCTTCTGAAAGCAATGAGCCTGTATGGAGAGACAAAAAAGTGTGTGTGTGCTTACAAGTAAATAGTGGGGATATTCTTGGCCCCAGAGCTGGCACTATACTATATATACATGTATATATCCCAGCCAAGCCCTTTATGAATACATAAGACTGTTTCAAAATGCAAACCAATACATTCAGCTATTTATGCTTGTTATTTAATGCATAGAATACCCAGAATGCAACAGCTGCAGCTGTAGTGGCATAGGCAGTTTTTACAGACTGTGGCCCTCATCAGCAATTTCACTGCTTGTGATGTAGACTTCATACATCTTTTAGCCAGTTGTTAACTCACAATGAAGGAGTTTCATTATCAGTCGGCCATTAGAATGCCTTACAACCGGATAAGTGTTGGTTTGATTGCAGAGGCATTCAGTGGGGACAAGATAAGTGCTTAGCGTGACTAAGAGAGTACAAATTGGCACAGAGAGTTCTCTTGGAAAAGGAGGGATGGCTGGGAGGAGGCACAGGGAGGTGGAGAAAGGGGGGTAAAAATAACCTGGGGCTGACAGAAAAGGAAGGGGACCCTTTGAAACTGATGATTTAGCAGACAGCTTCTTCTTTTCAGGAAGATCTTGCAGAGAGGAAAGGGAGAAAAGGAAGACAGTTGGAGAGATCTAGACATAGAGGCAGGTAAATAAATAAAGTCTTCTTCCTTTGCAGTCTGCAGTCTGCAGAGATAGTGTTCGATCAGTTTGTATTGTTGTCAGGTGACAGCCTTGTGATCCCAGTTTCTGTGATGGTTTTACTTCTAAACGGTTTTGTGCTGTTCTTGAATTTGTTCAATGACAACAACATATTGTCCCACAACAATATGTAAACATATGTATATATGGTGCATTATAATGAAAACCCTAAAAAAACCCACCATCCATAGAATTATTGTTTGATTATTTGTCATTTGAGAGAACAAAGAAAGCAAAACCTTTGCTTCGTTCTCTAAAATAATATAAAGATTTTCTTTGTAAAGTCCTCAGCTTTGTACCGGGCTCAATGTTAAATACACTGACAGTTTTCTAGTTAGCAGCGTGGGAGCTCTGGGGGAGGGAGAGGGCATGGAGCACAGGATGGAGGAAGGAAGGGAGAGGAAACCACTTTAGATTGTAAAGGATTTCCATTTCCCAAAGACAAGCGGCCTCCCTCTCCCCGTCTCTATGTCTCTCCTGCCTTTTCTCCACCTCTCTCCCTCGGCCCGGTCTCGTTGCTCATCTCATTCTTCCACTCTCTTTCTCTGCCTTCTACTCTTTCTCTCTCCTTTCCCTCTGTACTTGGTTAGCCCATTCTAATGGCCCAAGGCCAGGAACTCTGGGAGCTCAGGAGATTAGATGGGAGCTTGGGAAGTGTGTGAGAGTACTCATGTTTATCTGGGCTTCCATCTGTGTCTATGACTGCACATGAGTGTGTATTCAAGTGTGTGTGCGCTTTGTAATAATTTTTTTTTTCATTCACGAGTGGGATATTTGTCAGGCTTGACTGAGCAAGATGAATTTCCATCTCTGTGTCATCATAAGGCCACAGATGGGAGGGACAGGGCACAGATGAGAAGGATTATATAATTCAGAGATATTATTTGTGCCCAGAAGAGCTATCACTTACATGCACATGAGATGAGTTTTCACTGAACTAAGGAGGGTAGGTTTTAGTGTATAGGTTATTTTAAAATGTATACATTTACATGCTGGGCAGAAGCACGGCATAGTGATACGGGAAACAGTCCAGCAGCTTGGAAGACAGGCATCTGCTCATAGACTCCAAAAGCATCCACCAAGCTGAAGTGTCCTTGAGCAAGACAATGAATCCATACCAGCTCCTGGGGTGTGATCTGTCACTGATATTTGACCTCTGACACCCTGAATAGAAGGCCAAATAAATGTTCAGAAAACGCAAATCTCTCCATGAGTGATGACAAGTCACAGCCAAAGCAAATGGTAAATTTCAAGGCTATCTCACCGAACTAGTCAATGAGACCAACACTTGAAAAAAATGTCTGTATCATTCATGCCTCCAGAATGGTGAATGGTGTGACATAATTTTTCTGCCCAAGCTGACACTCAGACATCTTTAGATGTAAGGATTAACTAAAAGGTGCAGGGTAAAGCTAGATTACATGCCGACTTCTACAACAACTCAATATTTTATTAAGAAATCATGTACAAGGCTCCTGAGACATGGACTCAAGGACACATTTGATATGAGCTACACAGTTGATTGGTAAATCACTGTAAACTAAGCAGTTCCAAGAAGTGGCTTGGTTCTTGGCTCTTGGTTACTTTGCAGATTAAAATCTCAAGCCTCTAGTTTAATGACCATATTTGTACTGTCACAATCTGCCAATTACACCTATAAGTGCTATGTTTTCACTCAACAGAATCTCCACCGTTGATTATGAAAACAAATCAACCAATCCCTATGGAAAAATACTTATAACTGCACTGTATGAGATAAATAAAATATAGCTGAAGTCATTAATCAGTTCTTAATATTTTAAAATATTCTTAAAGCCATGTCAAAACCATTTTGAGGTTACCCTACCACATATGCAGTAGTAGTAAACCGATTGGATATGAATAATTAGTGGAGTTGCCCTTTAAAGCACCTTTACCAATACAGTTACTCTTTTTTTTCAACATTTATGTGCATTGCTGTGGTAGTGTTGAACTACTGCCATTAAACAGGCAAAAAGGCTTCTGTTTTGAACTAGTGATGATTGAATTATCCATTGTAAACTGAGATTTTTCCCACTAATTACATTGACAGCCTATGGTTAAACAAACACCCATTAGTTAAAGTGCGAGATAGCAGATATAGAACTTTCAAAAATGTTCTGGAAGAAAATGAAAGCATCTTGCCAGGCTACTGATGAATACAGTATGTTTATGCATCCTCATTAGTTTGACTGTTGTGACCCTAATTAGAAAGATATAGATAAAAAAAATGCATGTGTCGGCATGCTTGCATATATCTGTGAATCTATGAGTTCTCTGTGCATACCGTATGTGTGTATCCATGCTTGTATGGATTGGTGTTTGTCCCAGTTGTTAATGTGTACACATACATACAAGAGTAAAAACTTGCATGTCTGTTTGTGTTATCCTATTTTGGCTAAATTGTGGGTTTCTCATTAGCAACTGTATAAATATTTGTGTGTGCAGTACATATCTTGCTGTGAAAGCAGCTTGCTGCCTTTGAACAATAAAAAATCATCTGCTTATGAGCAAAACAGAGTGAGGCTCCAAATCCTGAAGAAGACAGACAGACAAGAACAGATGTTTGAAATGAAGTGTGTTTGTGTGTGTTTTCCCTCATTCTCAACATGTTTACATTTAGGATTGTAATGAGTGAGGCTTTTGAAATGTGGATCATTTAATTGTGTTAACACGCCCACTCAAAACTACAGCTGGAATTTCAAAGCTGCTGTGCTTTCTGAACATTTCTCTCACTGGCTTAATGCATGTGTGTTAATATCTCTCTTTTTTTTTTTTTTTTTTATCTTTCATATAAACACACAGTCAGAACCATTCTTGTACTAAGTCTCTCAGTTTTGTTCACATATACCACACGCAAACTGTCATTCACACTACACACAGGCTGTGTCTCTTTTGCTTCTGTCTGTCTATTTGACATCTCTTTCCAGCCCCACCCATGTGACCCAGTAAAACAGGGTATATTTCTGAAAGCAGAGATTGATATTTTTGTGTTCAGTCCTCTTGTCTTTCAGTGCTTCCTGTAGGGCTCAACCTAGATCGCCAGAGTGTCAACAATTTGACAGATACACTGTGCACACATGCACAGAGACACACAATGTGACGCAGATCTTATCACAATAAAATTGAGTGATGCTCATTCTCTTTGCATCTATATGTCTTTAAACAAGACTCAATCACTTGAATAGCTGCATAAAATGTGGAAAATGTTTCTTGGTGCCACTGGTACATAGGCATACAGTATTGACCACTACTATAAGAACCTTACTGTATATGTACTGACAGATTTAGTGTAGTACAGTGACTAAATGAGCTCACATGCAAATGTCAGACAATAGGAAGCCAGTAGATTTTACATGTAAAACTAAAACAGTCTTTCAGTGTAGAGTCGAGATACAAATGGTATAAAATATATCTAAAACGATATCTAATATATCTAATGATTGGTGACATTAGTGCACTGAAAGACAATACAATGATTTCATTGAAAAAGAGCTGTAATACACAGAAACTTGTGTAGACATTACAGGATCTTTTGGATCATAAACAAGATGGCAAGAGTTACTGTCATAACACCAATTCTGTTGATGTTCTGTGCTAAAACACATTTAATGGGGGAACTAGTAGCTTTCATTAGATATGTGACCTGACTTGATTTTGACAAATTTATAGGATTTATTCAGTATTGAAAACAAGAACATGCTTGGATTTCTCCTCAGTAATATTCAGAACAACTGAACTTAACTGATGTGATTCCTGTGTTGTCTGTTTGTGTGTGTGTGTGTGTGTGTGTGTGTGTGTTTACAGGCTATGGCTTTGTGGACTTTGACAGCCCTGCAGCAGCCCAGAAGGCTGTGGCTTCACTCAAAGCCAGTGGAGTCCAGGCACAGATGGCGAAGGTAAGCTTCACCCCACCTTTCACTCGCTGGCCTGATTTACTTGTTGTTATTGAGGTGTTACACTCCAGGTACACCCAATCTGTAAACCCTGGAGAGAGCTGATGGTGTTGGTGGTGATGATAAAGACTGCAGTGATGGTCAATGTTATTTGCGGTCACAGTAATAAGTAACAGCAGTTGTGCAGTGTTGATAATCATGATAACGATGACCGGATTTCCTGCATGTCAGTTACACTGTTACATTGATTCATGTGAGACTGATAGGTGCAGTTTTGATTAAGTCAATGATGAAATTATTGATTGAGTCCATATAGAGTTATTGATTAACGACTATGGTCATGATGAGATTATTGATCAAATCCCTGAAAAGATGGGAGAAAGGATGGAGCAGAAGATTTAGATGGCTGAGCTAATTCCCTTTCATCTTGTATTGTGTCTTTCCTTTTTTGGACTTACTTTCACCTTTTCGTTATGTGTTCCTCTCATATTTGCTCTCTATTTTCTTCTCAAATACTAATAATCATTCACATTTGTGTTTATAGATAATGATGTGTGTGTATAGCTAGTGGTTGTATACAACAATACTGTGCCAAAACATGTGGGCCTAACCAGCACAATCACATTATCCCTCAGTGCGTGTGATAGAAGGACACTGAATAGTCTCCCTTCTCTTTCAGATTCATTAAAACTGTATCGCTGCATACTTCCTTTTATAAATGAGAGAGGAGTGCAATTAAAATGGGCCAGACTTCGGGCACCAGGAGCATCCCATTGAATTAAACAGCAGCAAGCCTCTGAGCCACCTTTGCCTTGCTCTTCTATTAAACCTCTTTTCATTAGACTTCCATCTCTTATTTTGTTCCTAACTGCTTCGGGGGGCATTTGGAAGAGCAGTGTTGATGTGTTTAGCTGTTATTAAAGAGAGAAGAGCCCTCGACTCCTTGGAGATTGAGTTTTCCGGAGGGATGGAATGGAGGGCGAGGAGTCAATTCCAAATGAAATTACACAGACTTCTTACTGTTTCATGAACTAATTATGCACATAGCTGCGGATGTCCAGGCTAACTTTCCTGAATTGGGGTGCAATGAGAAAGTCGCTCCCAAAACCACTGATGTTGGATTTCCAGATCGAGCCTCTAACATTTTGTAAGATGAGCAGCTTAATTAGGGTTGGACAAAATCTTGGTTTTAACACACTCAGTGCCAATTAGACTGTCTCTGACGAATTTCATGCCATGCTGTTTCCCACATCCTTTTCAGAGTACGCTGAGGTTTTTCTAGGTTAGCCGGGACAAACACTTTTGTTCTGCAAGATAGTTGAAAGCTTTTTCACCAAAGACAGCAGTGCCAGTAGGGAGAGAAAGAGGTGATTAGAGTTTGTGAAAGAGAGAGATGAAAAATCTAAGAAAAGCGAATATTGATTGTTTTATGGGGAAGAGACGTATGGAGAAGGGTTTGGAGATAGAGCTGTACTTATCTGACATTGAACATCACCACAGAGCCTGTGGTGGACTGAAACCCAAACATATGAGAATGTCCTCATGGAATCTAATGTATAATGATACATTCAATCAAGCATGCCATGTGCTCAACCTTAAATATCCAAAAACCTTGGGAAACTGTAGACTTGATAGTAATATATGGATAAAATAAATAATAAATAATAATGGCGTGGGATAATATTTCATAATGTTGGCTAAAGGTGACCACCTGACTGCTCCAGATGGTTTGTTACATAGAACAAACCATCTGGAGCAGTCAGGTGAGCCGCTGTCTGTTTCAGCTCCTCCAGTGCTTTTTTGCAATTCATTGGAAAGTTCGAAAGTTTAAAAAATAATACTTGGCAGGTGATTGGATTAACCATCTGTCTATCACTATCTGTCACGAGGGAACTCCAGTTAGGTCAACAAACCATATAACGCAGTCAAACTCTTACAGTCAGCCAGTCAGGAGGAGTGTGAAAACATCTTTTCCATCGAGAAAAGCCCTCAGTGCCGTTCTTTGTTCTTCTTTCAATGGAGAAATACTCTCCAGTTCTGATATAACTGATGATAGCAGAATCTATGCTAGCCCCTTTAGCAGCCACTATTGTTTCTTAACAAACAGTGTCTTCTCGCTGTGTCACACCTAGCGCCTACCCCCGTAGCTGCCAGTACTTCCTCAAAGGACACTGATTGTTCCAGTACCATTGTACCAGCCACAAACGCATAGACAGAAGAATGGCGATTCTTGCGTGACGTTTTGAGTCCACCTGCCTCGCACGGTTATGAAGATGATGCTTTTAATACATTTTCTGATCTCTATGTCTATCAAACTGCTCAAACACATATAGATTTGGTATATTTGCAGAATACATATAAAAATACAGAAAACACACATCTACTCCCTTTTAAAACTCTGTGTTTTAAGCAAACAGAAGGTGGTGTGGTGTGAATGGTGAAATCTTTTAGGGATTTGATTGAATGTAATATTAATAGACACTACTGGAAGTTGTCTTTTTTTTACTGAGAGAAGCATAAAAAGACAGGACATGGAGGTGTGCATCTGATGGACTGTAGTAGAGGTTCTGACAGGTGATTTGACATAATAATAAACACATTTGTGCAGTGAAGAATAGCAGGGAGTGCCGCAGAAGCAGTTTTATCAATGGTTGTCTACTGGTGGAAATAATCTGTGAAAAATATTTTGTTCTCAGTAGTTTTCCACAATCTCACTTTTCTACAGTCACACAAAAAAGCGAATCATCATTTAACTACATAGCAGAGTTAACACCTGAGGTGTTTTACAGGTTTGTGAGATGGGTTAAATTAGAATGAAAAATACGTGTGAAAAACATTTGTGTGGAGTCAGTGTTGAAGGTGTGAGAGCGGAAAGCATGTTTCATTGTTTCAGTTAGGTTTGTTATTTGGTTATATAAATGGATACTTTAAAATGAACTAATCTTCTATACACATATCAGACAGTAATAAAACAATTCAAAATTAAACAGTTTCATTACACCTTGGAACTCACACCTAGTGTCATTTACATCTTTATTGAAATCACCAACCATGATTACTTTATTAGGCCTAAAAAAAAGGGTAGACAGGACATCAGAAAAGAGCCATTTGGTCCCAGAAGACAATAAACTATAAAAAAAAAAAAATAGAGGGCTATCATCTGGGCTTCAAAGGAGGGCCACAGTGATCATCGTATCGGATGTATCAGGACAAACCAGCCGACACCAGATTTGACGGAAGGTTCCCTTAGTAAGACATCTGGGCTGCCAAATAGTGCAGTGATAACATATAGTATGTCTAATGCAGTATTCTTTCAGGGCAGACTCCAGAGCCGGTTTAAACCTTTAGCCTGCACACCGTGTGAGGGTATATGCTGCCTGAGAGGCAAAACTCAGGGCAAGAAGTTTAAACTAGCTTAACATACCAATAGAAGAATACGATGCAGCTGTATAGCTCGTAGTGAAAGAGGCCTGAAAACTCAACTGTCGACCTTAAATTTAACCACGATTAAAGAAACTTCCTGACATTACCCATGAGTTCATTAGCGCACGGTTGAAGCAAGAATTAGCAATTATTCACTGTGAGAAACATGTATCCATTAAACCCCACAGCTTGCACTGACATCTTCTTTGTGATGGTGCATGTTTTGGTTGTGAAGTAAACGAGACAGGAGGAAAATACAACAAGCCAAGATGTAAAGAGAGAGAAGAAAGTGTGTGTGTGTCCTACACTCACTTCCTCAGTCTTCTTGGTAATTACTGTTGACCTGAAAGATGATTACTGCTACAGCTGTACTCCCCCTCTCGCTTCCCTGCTCACTCACAGTTAGTTTCTCTGTCTCCCTGACTCGTTTTCCCTTTCTCTCTTTGTCTGTACACTTAAACACTTAAAGTCATCCTCACACGTGTCCATGAATCCTGCAGACACACAAACGAGTTTAATGCTGGACAAACAAGTGTGTGTGTGAGATGTGCATGTGTGAAATGTATGTGAAATCTTCATTGCAAAAGACCTTCCCAGGAAAAAGCATTTAACAATTTAAAAATATTGTGTATTAAAATTCATACCAGGCGCAAATTTCATCATGCAAACACAAAAAACATGCACTCTGCTATGCATATGAGCACTCTGTATGTGTGTGTGTGTGTGTGCATGTGTGTACAATAACAGTTACGGAGGACCAAGGTCACTATGCTAATTAGAGAGATGGTACCACTGGCAGTGACATTTCACACCTCCCTCCCTTCTTCTCTCCCTCTCTTCTTCTCCCCACCGCTTTGTCCTTGGCACCTCAAACCATTCTTTCCCCTTCTCTGTCTCTCTTTTTTTACCTTCCCCTTTTTTTTTGGCATAGTATGTTCTCTTCATCTGACCCCCCCCCCACAACCGCCTCATCCTCTTTCCAACTTTTTTTTCTCCCCATTCTCCTCTCTCTCTATGTGTGTGTGTGTTTGTCTGCAGCAGGTGCTGCAATGCCTCCTCCAGAGTCATTAGTTACAGGGTTGAGTGAGGACAGAGAGTGAAGGATAGAGAGAGACAGAGGAGGGGGTGTGTGTTGAGAGAGGATGGCTGGGTGTGATGAGAAAGGGAGAGAAAACACACACACACACACCTACACACACACACACACACACACACACAAAGTGTACGTAGTTGCATGACTGTCATTAATCAACCCTGATTAAACCCTTGGGTTGGTTCAGTTGTGTTCGTTCATTCGTTCGTTCTTTTGCTCTTTCTTCCTTCCTTTCTTGCTTTCTCCCTTTCTTTCCTCTGTCTTATGTGTGTGTATGATAAAAGCCAGATGCCTGATGTTTTTTTGACTTGGTTTACTGTATTGAGTGTCTGTGTGTGCTTTCTTGCAAGTGAGTGTGTCCAACTTGCATCTGCCTGAATATGCCTATATAGTTTCTGTGTGTGTGTGTGTGTGTGTGTGTGTGTCTGACAGCTGAGGTTAGTGATGGGAAGAGGAGGACAACAGAGCCAACTGACACACAAAAAAA